TTTCTGCGAAAACTTCGTTGACCTTTGGAGACATCATTAATATAAATAATTTTTATGGCCGTTAAATAAGAAATGTTTCTTTCACAAGAAATGTATAAAATTACAGTACTAAACAGACGATAGGTCGCCTAACTCGCCGTAGCGTGACGCTAGACGGCGAAAAATATATATTTAATTATAATAAAGTTACAATAAATTAAGTTAATATATAATTATATATACAGTACCTAATTTATATATAATTAATATATAATTATATGTACAGTACCTAATTTATATATAATTTATATAATACTGTCCAGACGATAGAAATCTCTCCGTAGCGTGGCGCTACGGACGGCGGGTAAGTAGTTCGGCTGCCCGATGACGTTTTACGTATTATAGGAGTTATTTTTACCGTTGTTTACGGATAATGCCACAATTTTTATAGGAATCATAACTATAGGAAACGCTTTTATAGGGGGATCTACTGTAGTCATATTTACGGCACGAAATGCTTCAGCTAGGGGATAAATAACTGGTTTATCTAAAGTTTTCATTGACGTCCTCGTGCAAAGTGCCCTACACCTTCCCGGAGGACCAATTACAAGAGCAGACGGGAAGCAAGACAAATGGGACTGGATGCCAGACATCTGGGCAACAAAATAATAGATCAATAATAAACAAAGAATAGACAGAATAAAAAATTTTCTTATCGCTTTCTTTATTAAAATCGCCATTCTTTTCTAATGATCTACTAGACCAGCAAATTTAAGTAATATTTTTTCTCTTTTTTCTTTTACTTTTACTGTGTAGAAGTACAAAATTGTATAGAATTTACATTGAAAATTCCCGTGCAAGAATGCGTCAGATAGTTAATAAATATTTTCATTTATATTATCATATATCAAAATCTGTAGAGTCATTCAAGAAATGGTTTTAAAAAAATGATCCCAAAATGATTTTAAAATGAAAAGAAGTAATTGCACAATATTGAAATANTTATGCAAAGAAAATCTCTTCCTGAATCTGTCAAACCATCCTATGCTGGCTTTAAATTCAAGTTTAAGCAATTCATTAGATGAAATGCTTTTAGAATCTTTTAAATGTTGGTAAACCGTGAGTGCCTTTTGTTTTATGGCAACACTATTTACAGGTATATTTCTCAAGTAACAGTCTTTAATCCATATCATCAAACACTTTTCCATCTTAGGCACTAACATGTCTTTTATTTGAGCAACTTTCTTCAAATCTAATAAAGACTAGACAATATGGCTTGTATTTTGCTGTCATTTTGTCTTATTGTTCAAACTGTTGACTCTCTTAAGTTCAATTCTTTAGCAATGGTTGCCACTTTTGCACCAGATTTCAATTTATCCAAAATTCTAATTTTGTCATCCAGAGCTATATGTTTTTTTCTCAACTTCTCGGGTATGTTATTTATTTCAGTACTCATGGCTAAAATATATTTTTTTCTTATAAAAATATTATTATAATGCATACAATACTTTTTTATAATTAAGTTATCTGTAATCTGTTTTGACTTTCCTTTATTTAAAGAAACTTTATTTGAAATTAGTTATGTATAACACTAACAGTCTGTTTGCAATGAAATAATATTTCAAACTGAATCACATCTCATTAGAATATTGTGACAACTGTTACAATTTACAGACATGCCTGAATTTGCATAAATTGGTATGATAATGTATGTCCCGTATAACACGATTTTCTACAATGCAGAACGTATCCCCCACGTTGTACAGGACTCTACTGTATACAATAGGTAAATATTTGACCTTAGTTATTATGCATATACCTGGTGTAATTTTCATATTTCAGTTTATGAAAAGCATTATACTTCATTTACATAATTTTTCTTCTATAACATTTTTTAATGCAATCAGTTGTCCAGCCATATTGTAGCACATATGCTTAGCTTCATTCCATGATCTTTTGTCATAAAAGATAAGACCAGATATGAAAACCTTAGATGACTAGAACAACTCTATTGTTAAAGGAAAAGTATGATGTGCAAGGGCAAGCAACTATTAATTTGAGGTGGAGAGTATATATTTTAAATTAAATAAATTAAAAATATGATCAAAAATTGCAGCCCGGCATTGTGACGATGTCAGAATAAAATAATTGGTCTTTTTCATTTATTTATTTACTTAATTGACTGATTTTTTTTCTAAAGCGAGGTACTAGCATATAATTGTCCGGAAATAATTGTAAAATGTTCAGATCAGCAGCGTGCAGTGACAATTTTTAAAAGGGACCAGATGTGAGAAAACCCATTTTTCATACATTATAGCAATTATTATTTAAACATCCGGAAAAATGTATTTTATTCTCAGGTTATTGGCACATTAATTTTACTTTCACGGCCTTGTTATATATCGGGTCGTCAAGGATGAAATTTGTGTAAAAGAAAAGTTGGTTGATAACTTACAAATATAAGGAATTATTTCATTCATCAAAGTATGCACCCATATTGTCTATATACTTTTGCCATTTAAGCGGTAGGTTGTTCAGGCCGGTGGTATAAAACCCTGGCGGACGAGAGTCAACGAATTCTTGGAAGGCCAGTTTTACAGCATTGTCGGAATTAAATTGTTTTCCTATTAAAAAGTTGTCCAAATTGCGGAAGAAGTGATAGTCAGTAGGGGCTAGGTCTGGTGAGTATGGAGGAAGATGAAGAAGTTCCAACTCCAATTCCTGTAGTTTTGCCACAGTCATTTGTGCAGTGTGTTGGTCTAGCGTTATCATGCAATAAGATAGGAGTCGATCTGTTGACCAATCTAGGCTGTTTTTCTTTAAGTTTTTGCATAATTTCATCCATTTAGTTGCAGTATATTTCTGCTGTGATCGATGAGCCAGGTTTCATGAAATCATAATGGATCACACCTGTGCTAGACCACCAAACACTCACCATCAGCTTCTTTTGATGCATATTGCGCTTTGGAGTGTGTTTTGGTGATTCATCCTTGTCCAACCACTGTGCTGAACGCTTTCGATTGTCATATTGGATCCATTTCTCATCACAAGTGACAATTCGATTCAAAAATGGATCAGATTTGTGACGAGAAAGCAACATCAAGCAAGCTTCCAAATACACTACACCACACTACAAAATACATTACAGCCAATCTTACCCGTTTTCACAGAATTCAAGAATTAGGTAGATTCCCCTGTTTCCAGACTAATTAGAAAATTTTCAGATGGGTCTAAAATTATGTTCGATTTAACGCAAAAAACCGCATCTGCACCTGTAAATCTTGCACGTTGCTTTCCCTTAATACTTCCATTCTTAATTCATTCCATTGTTACTTAACACTTCCATTGTTGAAGCCTTAATCCTGTCCCTTTCCCCGCAGGAGAGATTTTCAAAAAATCCCTTGTTAGTGTGCGTTCTCGTGATGTACCCTAACTGTGTACC